TTTCTGGGCTTAGGTAGGAAAAGGTAGCCAGAGAAGTTAACAGTGAGAGCCTGACAGTTCCTGCATATATAAGCAAACCTTGAGCCACCCCCACCCCCACGACTGCACCCCCCCACCTCCACCCCTGTGCTCGCTAGGACTTCCCACCAGGTCTACCTTCTTGCCCTTAAGAAGAGCCAGCCTGAGGCTGAAAAAGATGAGGTGCTCTCTCATGCAAAATAAAACAGCATCCCCCAAACAGGAGAGCCTTCTAACCAACCCATGGACAGAAGCACTGCCTGACATAATTACAAATCCTCATGCGCACACACTAATATAAACCAAGCACAGAAACACTTATGGGCATCTAAAATATAAACACACAAATTCCTGCTAGTACACTAATAAATAGTCACTATACATACAAGCACACCAAGCCACCTACACATTGTCGTAAACACTGTAATGCACACAAACGAAAAGCAACAGCCTCCCTCTCTTCCACACCACCCAAGCTGCTCCTACTTCCAACTCTCAACTGGGCCACAGTCAACCCCAGACCCCCAAAAGGCCCCTTACTCTTTTAACAAGGGTACGGCAATGAGGACTTATCTCTCTCTCCTCCCACCCCAGTCTGTGGTGAATTTTACAGCCATCCAGATAAAAGTGTGTTTTTAAAAAAAGAAAGAAAGAAACCAAAACCCAGCCCCAGCCTTTCAGGGTGATTAATCCCTACTAATGATTTACTGATCTGCAGACGGCGTGTTCTGTATAACTGGATTGTAGGCATTAACACGCGCTCAGAGGTTTCCATTCTGCTAAAAATGAAAGTAAATTTCAAGAGCAATTGACCATTCCTAATTTGTATAGTCTACTGATACAAAGGGAGGACCTCCCACTTCCACCCATAGACCAGGGGCTGGGGAGACCGGGTGCAAAGAATAATTCACCCCAAAGAAATACTTCACCTTCCATTTCCCCTCCCCTTCAAAGACTGAGACAGGAAACCTGGTGTCAAATAGGTGAGGCTGCTTCTTTTTCCTGCCAAAGGTGGCAATTCCCCCATGCCATCAATGTCCTCAGTCCTGGGCTCTAGAGGACACAGGAAGGATAAAAGAGGTACCAGATATTCGGGGAAACTGAGTTTGGAGGAAAGAGCTAGGGTAGAACTTTAAACAATGGTCAGCCCATATAGGGACAGCTTCTGGAGAGTGACCCGCACTAACCTCTGTCTACCAGACCCACCTGCACCAAGGCAGAAGATGAACAGGATGACCTCCGTGCTCCCACTCCCAAGATGAGAAATCTGTGGCAGCCAGACCCTGCCAGACTCTTCTAGTCAAAACCACATTCCAGCCCAGAACAAGCACAGCCGCAAGCCCCAGTGGGTGTGGTCATTCCTGACACCCTTCAACAAGAACTGCCAGGGAGGCAGACAGGTTCTGCTTACTCATCCAGCCAGAGAGAAAACCAAATCACACTTTCTCCCCAAGCTTCCATCTGGGCAGAGATTTTGTCCAGCCTTCTCAAGCACCCCAATACAGACCAGCATGTCCAGTTTAGAGATGAAGAGGCTGTGGGTCACAGAGATTAGGAGACTAATACTGGCCCACGATTATCCACGGGCTTCACTCAATTACAGCCCAGATGAAACCAGGGACCCTTGTCTCCCAATCCAAGCCTTCTGAAAATGTAGGATCTAGAGCAGAAGGCTAGCAGAGGGAAAGGAAGTGGGCTGTGAACGCTGCCCGAGTCCAGCCAGCCTCAGACAAAAGCTCAAAGCCCATCATGCACGCAGATGGACATCCTCAAATCACCTACAGCCCATGAGCCCTGTCTCCTCTCTTTACCTCTCCCCACCATTCCTTGCTTACAAAAAACTCCTCCAGGGGGCTGGGGATTTAGCTCAGCAGCATAAGCGCCTGCCTTGCAAGTGTGAATTCCATACCCGGTACCAAAAAAAAAAAAAAAAAACTCCTCCAGGTAGTGTCCTAGAGCCTAGCTTCCCCAGCACTGTGAAGGCCCTGGGTCCGTGGCTACAGCTGCTCTCTGTACTTCCTGGACTCCTGACCAACTGACAGACTGATGGAAAAGATATTAGAGGACAGAGGAGATCACAGATCAAGGGTGAAAGCAACTAGATACAGCTGTTTCCTCTTCTCACCAAACCTGTGCCTGCCGTGCCATTGTGGAGACTGCCTACCTCGGTCTGGGACAAATATTACAGTGCACACGTGGCCTCCAGAGTGCCAAAGGTAGATGCCTTGTGATTGTGCTTGCATTCTAGAGGGGCGGTCTGTGTCTCCCAGAAGGAGGTCTGTGTCTGTAACCTTGGGCTTTGCAGACAGTGTGCACCCGGCTGAAGCTTGTGTAGCTGTTGCTGTTTCCTGCAGAGCTTCCCCCATCTCTACCCCCCACCACTCTCAGGCTCAGAGACCCCCCACAGTGAGGGCCCCATCTGCTGGAGGCTCGGTGACCTGTGTCAAATGAGCAGGCGCTCGGTCACACTCCAGAGCCTGGAGGAAGCTGCCTGGCTCTGGGAAGGCTGCAGAGCTCCTGCCTGGGGGCGGGTTGGGCAGGAGGAGTCCCTGCTGGGAAGTGGGGCCTAGGAGCCTGAGATCAGCAGAGGCCTGGCTGGGAACTGCCTTCCACAGACAAGAAGGAAAGTGGGGAAAAAAATAAAAGAAAGGGCTTCCCTGTCTCCTCAGGACCAGCATTGCTACCAAGTGCATGGGGTGCAAACTCGGGTGAACACGGCCCCTTCCATTCTAATCCCTTTTGCAGATTTGTTGGTTTCTTCAGGGTTCAGATGTGCGAATCTGTGTTTCTCCAGGATGTGCGGGGGTGCACCTCTTCATATCTGTGCATCTAGATGGGAGAGTGTGCATGGCCAGATCTGTGCACTAACGTGTGAATACAAAAGTGTACCTATTTGTGTAAATAATGTGCTATTCCAGTCGAGTGTCTCACGCTTGTGACCCAATGGACCTCCAGGTCTCGTGTAGCTCAGTGTTAGTGAAGGAAGGCCTAGTTAGGCCTCTTTCAACCTATATGAAAGTTGTGTTTACCCTTTTTAGACATATGACTATATTTGTCATTAGGTGTTGCTTTGTATAACTGAATATTCAGCCTAATGATGCAAGCCCATGTGTTCCTATTGTGAATCAGTATGTCTGTCCCTGTGTGAGAGCACACATTTGCATGTGTTTGCATGCAAATGTGTGTGTGTGTGTGTGTGTGTGTGTAAATGTACAGTTGTTGGCAGGCCTGTGTCTGCATGGGTCAGATGGGTATCCAACCTCTGTGTACACACCTGTGGCTGAGGAGAGTCTCCCCAGGATCTGTGAAGGCAGTGCTCCTGCAGAGAGGGGCTGTTCCGGTGCAGATATCTGCCAGTATTCATGTCACCCATTGTGCCAACAAGAAGAGTGAGAAGGATGCTAAGACTTTCTGGGAGGAATTTAACTCCCAAGAAAATTATGACTGAAGAGCCCATAACATTATAGAGAATATAAATTTCCCAAATGGATAACCTTTTCCTGCTTCTCAGTGCTACTCACCCCAGGCCAGTGTCTAACATGTCAAAGACACCTAAATTACATGCTTTATTACACCCTCAGGACCTGAGAGCAATCCTGAGACATGGGCATTAATGTGCCCATTTTAAGGTGGAGAAATGAAGGCTCTAAGATGCAAAGTAACCCACAAAATGTCACAGGCTTCTATGAGGAAATAGGATTTCTGGGGGACAAGTTGATAATCATGAGTCTGGTTACTGCTCTGGCTTATTTTGGTTTGGTTTTGATTTTGGTTACTGCAGATATCCCTCTATCCAGCACATACCTACTAATATAGCTCCCTGTATACCAACCAGAGCTGGTCTGCCCTCAAGAGCTGCCAGAGATAGAACTATGGCCTCTCTTTGCCTTGATGGCCAAAATGAACCCTCCCCCATGCCACACAACAGGGAGAATGAGGGGGAACACACATGTTCTGAATCCTGGGAAAGTCTCATTTCCCTAATCTATGCACTGAGGACAATAATCTCAGCATTCTGTTATAGAGCTAAGAGGTACAGGTAAAAGGATGAATGTAAAAGCACTTTGGAAAGCATTAGTAATCATTCTGCAAGTTTTAGAGGCAACTCCAAAATTGAGCTATCACACAACACTGAACATTTTCTATTCTCCAATAGACATATTTATATGAGGCCATCAAAAACTGGAAGGGCATGAGAGGTCAATTGATCCAAACCTCAATAACCCCACTCTACAGATGAGAAAACTGAGATTTAGAGATATGAGTTACTTGCCCATTCACTGGACCCAACAACAATAGGAATGACCACAGTAAAAGCCCTTTCTGAAAGATTTTTACTCTCATTGTCTACCTCTATCTGCTTATCTTAATAAGACAGGTGGGCTGTTTGTGGTACTGTTATTCCCAGTTTACAAGAAGGAAACTCAAGACCAGAAAGAATGGACCAGAACTACTCTTACCCATGAAGACAGTGGCTACACCAGGCTGGAAGCCTAAGGTTCAGCGTGACACAGGCCTGGTTAGGACTGTAATGAAAGAAGACTTCACTGCAGGACTTTCAGCCTTGGTCTGACCTCCTAGGTCTGGGACAGGTCCAAGGAGACAAATGGACAAGAAGGATCTAGGCTGCTTCAAGGTGACCTCTTCTTGGGCTACAGTCCAGGAAGGCCCAGCATCCCTGGCTGGGTTGAGACACAGGGATCCAAAGAAGCTCCTGAAGTTAGGATGGACTCAAAAGAGCCTTCCCAGGCCCTGGTCAATGGCCAAGGACCCTCCCTGATCCCACCCTTTCCTTGGCTGCTAGCCAAAAGCTATACTTGGGACATTTCGGGGCCAGATGAGCACAGTCTGTGCCCAGGATAACCAATGTAACTATCAACTCTGTCCCAGCCCCCTTTGGATCCATGCTTGCAGCAGCTGCCACCTGACCCCCCATCACCTCTGTTCCCAATCTGAGGCTTCCCTGCACAGAAGTGACTCACCTCACCCCCACCTCGGTCCTGAGATCAGGAACCTGTCGGCTTTGGAATCTGTGAATTCATCTGAGGCGAGAGCAAATACAGAACAGGAAGAATGGAAGACTTCCTGGGACCGAAATCTTCATGAGAGGTGGAGGCCACGGCTGTGGCCATACAGCATGGGGCTGGGTGTGGGGTGAGAGGGTAAGCTTAGAGTAGAGCTCTACTGCAACTAGCATCCTTCAGGGAGCCCTCCAGAGCTGCAGAATGAGGCGGTGGCCGAATTCCACTGACCGCATTTCCAACAAGGACTTAGGTCTCAGTTCCCTTTTCAATAACCCCAGGCAAGCCCAGGGAAATGCCAGCCCCAGAGCTCCACGCCAGGCTGGACAGCTCCTGGTCTGCACACCCTGAAGTGCCCTTCCCTGAGTTCATCAGATTCTCTGCTATAGGAAGTTTCTCCCAGGCTGACCCCTGCCATGACCAACGCCAATAATCCATTCGAGCTGGGAGAAGGAGCAAGCAGACTACTGCAGTCCGGTGTCCATCACCTCAACTAGTGGTGCAATCCCCTGAGCCACAGTCTCCGCCTCGAGGTCATCTCATTCCGGAATCCTGGAACTCTGCCGGGTTAAGGATCCGGCGTCTCGGCATCGAAGCGGTGCCTGCCCGCTATACCAGCGTGGAGCCGATCACGCAGTACTCCTGGCCTCAGCTCCCGGGAGATGGAAGAGATGTCCACGCGAAGCGGGAAGCCAGAGAGGGTCCAACTCTGCCCCACGCCCAAAGCGCTTTCAGGACCGAAGCGGTCTGCGCAGTTGTGACGCGGGGTCTAGAAGGAAAAAAGGGGAAACCGAGATGGGGCCAACAGGCGCACAGAAGACCGCTCGGTGCGAGCTGGAAGCCGCGGGAGACGAGGCGGGAGAAGTGAGCAGCAGCGCCGGTACCGCGCCTGGAACCCGCGCAGCCTGGCGCTCGCGGGAATCCTGGCCCGGCGGCCGCGGCAATGCAGTGGGAAGAGTGGGGGGCTGAGTCGCTGCTCGGAGCCCGAGCGCCTCCCGGAGCCCGCAGTCCCCATCGCCCCGGTGGAATGCGGCAAGGAATGCAGCTCTCGTGGAAGGTGGGACCGGCCGGGCTCGGAGTCTCCAGCGCAGGGGGAAAGCTGGGCCCACGCAGCCAGGACTAGAGGGGGTGCGGTCCCAGTGCCACCCCCGCGCCACTCCCCACGTGGCGGCCGCGCCCCCGGGGCGTGAATGTGTATGCGGATGGTAGGGGGGCCGTGAATGAAGCCCCAGCGGCCAATCAGCACGGCCGGCGCGCGGGACCCCGATAGCGAGGCCCAATGGCGAGCTCCGGGCGGCCGGGCCGGGCGGCAGGCGGGCGCGGGGGGCGGGGGCCAGGCCCGGGGGGCGGGAGGCGGCTCCGCAGGCAGCCAATGGGCGGCGGGTGGGGTGGGGCTCCGGAGCACCGAGCGGGTCGGGGCTTTAAGCCGGCGGAGCTCGGCGGTGGGGCCCGCAGACGGAGCGGAGCGGCGGCGGCGGCGCGGCGCAGGGTGCGGGGCGCGGGCGGCATGGCCACCACCGCGCAGTACCTGCCGCGGGGCCCAGGCGGTGGAGCCGGGGGCACGGGGCCGCTCATGCATCCGGACGCCGCCGCGGCAGCGGCAGCAGCAGCGGCTGCCGAAAGGCTGCATGCAGGGGCCGCGTACCGCGAAGTGCAGAAGCTGATGCACCACGAGTGGCTGGGCGCGGGCGCGGGCCACCCCGTGGGCCTAGCGCACCCCCAGTGGCTCCCTACGGGAGGTGGAGGCGGCGGCGACTGGGCCGGCGGCCCGCACCTGGAACACGGCAAGGCAGGCGGCGGCGGTACCGGCCGAGCCGACGACGGCAGCGGCGGCGGCGGCGGTTTCCACGCGCGCCTGGTGCACCAGGGGGCGGCCCACGCGGGTGCGGCTTGGGCACAGGGCAGCACGGCGCACCACTTGGGCCCAGCTATGTCACCGTCACCTGGGGCCGGCGGGGGCCACCAGCCCCAGCCTCTTGGGCTGTACGCGCAGGCGGCCTACCCAGGGGGCGGCGGCGGCGGCCTGGCCGGGATGCTGGCGGCCGGCGGCGGCGGCGCGGGGCCGGGCCTGCACCACGCGCTGCACGAGGACGGCCACGAGGCACAGCTGGAGCCGTCGCCACCGCCGCACCTGGGCGCCCACGGACACGCACACGGACATGCTCACGCGGGCGGCCTGCACGCGGCGGCGGCGCACCTGCACCCGGGCGCCGGCGGCGGCGGCTCGTCGGTGGGCGAGCACTCGGACGAGGATGCTCCCAGCTCGGATGACCTGGAGCAGTTCGCCAAGCAGTTCAAACAGCGGCGCATCAAGCTGGGTTTCACGCAAGCCGACGTGGGACTGGCGCTGGGCACGCTGTATGGTAACGTGTTCTCGCAGACCACCATCTGCCGCTTCGAGGCTCTGCAGCTGAGCTTCAAGAACATGTGCAAGCTCAAGCCACTGCTCAACAAGTGGCTGGAGGAGACCGACTCGTCCAGCGGCAGCCCCACCAACCTGGACAAGATTGCGGCGCAGGGCCGCAAGCGCAAGAAGCGCACGTCCATTGAGGTGGGGGTCAAAGGCGCGCTCGAGAGCCACTTCCTCAAGTGCCCAAAGCCCTCGGCGCACGAGATCACGGGCCTGGCCGACAGCCTGCAACTGGAGAAGGAGGTGGTGCGCGTCTGGTTCTGCAACCGGCGGCAGAAGGAGAAGCGCATGACCCCGGCGGCCGGCGCGGGCCACCCACCCATGGACGACGTATATGCTCCGGGGGAGCTGGGGCCAGGCGGGGGCGGCGCCTCGCCGCCCTCTGCGCCCCCGCCGCCCCCGCCGGCCGCGCTCCACCACCATCACCACCACACACTGCCCGGCTCGGTGCAGTGACCCAGCGGGCTGGGCCCCCGCCGCCGCACGGCGAGGCGCGGGCGCACGGTCCGCCCGCGCGGCCTGGACTCTTTTTGTTCGGTTGCTTTGGATTTTACAAAAAGCCCAGAAACTTTCGAACAAAACCAAACACCCGGACGATCTTCTCCGGCGTGCGGCAAAGACGCCCTACGGGCTGTGTTGCCTGAGGCCTGGGAGAGAAGCGAAGATCCGGAACGCGCCAACTCACCCTGGGCGTCCTGCCCGCCGCCTGCTCCCTCCCCCTATCCCCACGACGACCCCCGCCCCTGCCCCCCGAGCTGTTCGGGGCCGGATCCCGGCAGCGGTCTCCCTCAGCGACAGGTAACGCGGTGCGGGGTTAGGGATTCCCCGGGGGAGAGGACGAAGAGAGGAGAGTTCCCCATCCCGTCTCCCCAGCGCGCGGACTCCCGAGCCTGCAGGTCAAGGGTGGGGGCTGTCACTTTATCCGCTCCGCGCCTCTTCTTTCCCATTAGGATGCGCCCCATCCCCCTTTCCCTTTCTCCGGGCTTGGTTTTTTTACAGTTTTTATTTATTCGTGGAGCCTCTCGGCTCCTGAGGTCCTTCTAACTCTGCCCGCGCCCTTAATTTAAATCGCTGTATACTGTATTTATCGGGGCCCCGAGGGGAGGCCGCGAGAGCCGCGTCTGTGTATAAAAGCAGGAAATAGCCAAAGCTTTAATCTAGCCTAATTTATTTTCCCTTTATCCTCCCCTGCCTTCCCCCCACCAACAAAAAAGCAAAACAAAAAAAAAAAAAAGAAAACAAAACAAAAAAAACTAACAAAAAAAATTCGAGTGTTCATTTTTCGTTTCGTTTTATCCGAGCCGGTTCCTGGCCTCACAGGAGGGTTCTGCGCTCCCACTCACACCCCGATGGGAAAGGGCTTCTGCCCAGTTGCAGGCTCACCACCGTGCCACGGGGCCCTGCCCTGCTGGCCGTAATGAACGAAACTTGGAAAAGTTGGAGATATTTTTTAACCAGCTTTAGAAATAAGCCGTTCCCTGAGAACCTTCTGTCTGATTCCCTGCAGCTTTCCCCTGCTCCTCTCTAGAACCCCCCTCACCTCCCCGGGGATGTGGGAAACTGTGGGAGGTCGGGAGAGAATTTCCCCAAGTTTGGGGTGAGGTGGGAACCATGTAAATATGTGAGATATGTACACACTGGTGGGGAAAAGAAACATTTTGTGCTTGGTTTTTATTTTTGGTTTTCTGGGTTGTCCTCCCTCCCCATCTAAAGGATTTTGTACACCCGACTAATCCGAAAAAGATATTTTAATATGATTTCCTGATTTCTGACCCATCTCTATTTATTTTCCGGATGTGTTTGGAGCTTCCCCTTTCTCCATTTCTTTCTGTTATGGTTTGAATTTAAATTTTATTATTTTTATTTTTATTATTTTTTGGAACAATGTTTGGTGCATTCTCTTTGTATCTTTATTGCAAAAAATAATGTAGACTGGGAAGTTCCCTTTATATTTATGTTATAGTAAATATTTTATTACTCACATAAACATGTACCCCAGGGTTGTGTCCTGTCCTCTTTACTGCTAGGGCTGGGCGGGCTTCCCAATGAAGCAATGGGATGTCCTGCCTCGCCTCCCAAAAAGTTCCGACCTCCTTAAGAGAGATCTTGAAGGAAGAAGACCACACCAACCAGTTCTTCCAAACCAGTATCAGGACTGCCTGTTACTCCAACCATAGTTGGGCCCTGCCTCAGTGCGTCCACCTAGGGAAGATGAGCCTGCCCCATGAACCCTTCCCGTAGACTCTCCTCAAACCAGACCAGGGCCTAGAACAGTGAACCACAAACACCAATTGGAACTTGGGTCAGCCATTCCTCAGGCACAATTCAACCGTCCTCCACATCCACTTGGCCTCAACCACCAACGTAGAATTTCTGTATCCCCTGCCCAATGCTCCAACCCCTGATTTTGGTTTCACTTCCCACCCCATGTGTGGAATCCAGGCCACCTTCACCATTTAGGTCTGGAACAACTAGAAACCTGTTTAGGCCCACTGTTATATCCCAATTGACTCTCTGCCTATAAAAAATGGTGCCCATGCTCATCTCGGCCCACTAGTTGTTCTGATGATTTTGGACGGAGGTCTATTCAGTGGTCCTGCAGACTGAGGCAGTCTTGGAGGGGACCCTGCCTTTTTGCTTAGGCAAAGCTAGTCCTGTTTCTCCTGGGAGAAACAGAGGGCATAGACACTTGTATCACCAGAAACTTTTCCCCCATCAGGAGGAGCACCCAAGAGCCTTCCCACCACCACAAGACATGTGTATTGTGGGATGGAGGACTCCACGGCTCTGCAGCATGACCTGGAGGGACAGCATAGACACTGAGATAGTCCCTTCAAGCCTTCCACAGTAACATCCCATGGGAGAATCGGGGTAACGGGTCAGATCTGGGTTCAGATTCAAACCCCAAAAATCACCTGTGTCCTAGTCAAAAAATTTTTTCTTTTAAACAACTCTTCCTGTTTCCTCTGTAAATGTAGATCTTTTCCCTTCTCAGGAGAAATCGTATGAGGTTTCTCTCCCTCTTCATGGAGCCAGAGGTTGAACGCACAATCGCTTGGCTGGGGAAAAAATTGTGTCCCTAAAACGAAGGGATATCTGAGGCCCCTTGCCAGGAAGCTGCCCAAGTCCAGACCTGTGAAAAGCCTTGGTTCCAGCCAACGGCATCAAGAATGTCCACAGAGGTATTTCCAGGTCCTCAAGTCGCGGTCCCTGGCCTGGCTGAGACCTTGGGATGACTGTGCCAGGCTGATAATACTGGTGACTTTCTGATTTGTGCCTCTCAGCCTTGCGGGGAATTGTGTGTGAATATAAAGGCTGCTGTAGTTTTTAAAAGCTGGCTTCTCCCTGCTTTTGTTTTTCCCTCCAGTCCAGCCTAGTGAGTCCTACAGTTGTCACCCATGGTCCACCTGCTCCCCACACTGGGAGGCCAGTGAGCCTCCTCATGGCTCTTACAGAGAAGGTGGAAACCTGGTGGCCAGCAGGGTAATGGCACAGCCGGGGAGAGCCGCTGGGAACCCTCTCCCAGCTTCTGTTTCCTGCCCCTCTGAAAACTTCCAAGCCATCCCACACTCTCTTTAACTCCTTTCTTTTTCTCCATTCCTGGATTTGTCCCAGCCTCAGTCCCTTGAAAAGGAAGCAAGTGAAACCTGAGGCTCCCTGGACGTCCTGGCCCGAAAGCTCCTGTGGGTTATGAGGTTAGAAAAGACTATGGGAAGATGGGGCCTGTCACTGGTCTCTGCCTGCAGCTGACACCAATGGATTGATTAATTTCCTAATTGTCTGGGTAATCCTGTACAAGAGGGTGGGTTTATTATTTAAGCAAATCAACTCAAAAACAGCAAAACAATGCAGCCTCTGAAGAATTAGGAGCAGCTGGGGGGTAGAACAAAAAGAAGGAGA